GACTGATGAGCTTTCCAGGAAAAAGTGCCCAGACTGCATTCATTGAGGCTCTGACGGTGTGCGCAGTGGCACCAACATGTTGAAACCATACTTCTGGATAATTACCGACACCCTGCCTTAGTTTCGGCATGAAAAAGGAGTTTGTCATAGCTGTATAGCGCTCACTCGTCACTGTAACAGTAGTGCCACGTTGCAGATATCGCACACCATACTACCTTAATAATCACCTTAGGACTATATAAAATCTTTTCATGCTTTTGATTTGGGTTGAGAGAAGCCCGGTACCGACAATTTTTACGGTTTACATAAGCTTCCAGGTGGAAATGAGCTTCATCACTAAAATAAACCTCTTCCAAGTCAGTTTGTTCCTAGAAAATTTCCAACAATCGTTCAGGATAAGTTTTACTCTTAAAATAATCTTAAGGCTTAATTTTTCGAACTATTTGGATCTTGTATGGATACAGCTTTAGATCAGGTGTACTGCATGCTTATTTGCCCTCTCTACTATAAATAAAAAAACCGGCCAAGAGCGTGTTGGGCCACGCTCAGTGTAGGGTTCCGTAGTTTCCTGTCCGTCACAATAAGTGTTCCCACTTATGAGTTTAAAGGTGGGTATCCATTATGTTCGCGCTCCAGCAGCGCTCCGCGCTCCTGCAACTGCTCCCGGTAGTGGGTACGTGCGCGAACATGGAGCGTGCAACATTGCACGCTCCACGACAGGCGATGCCAAGGAGAGACCAACCAAACAATTCGATAATACCCGACCCAATGTAATAAGTACCTACAGCGCCATCTCTCGGGGAATTGGGTTACTAATTAATACATAGACGTGCCAGAAGTTTTCGGTGGTAATTTTGGATAATTTTTTTAATAATTCTTTTTTTTGTTTGAAAAAAGATACGTTCAGGATAATAAAATATGTAAATGAAGTTAAAAAAATGCCTGCTTAAACGATTATACTACAAACTTAGTCCAGAAATTATTTTGTACAACTTTTTGTCTTTTTTGTACAAAAAACTGTTTCCATCCAGGTTCAAAATAATTTTCCTAGAAAGTCCTTATAAATTTCTACTTTTCAGATTTTTTTTCATATTTTCTAAACCTATGGTTCAAAAGTTAGAGGGGGGGACACATTGTTTTTTACTTTTGGAGCGATTATTTCTGAAATTATTGACATTATCAAAAAAAAGATTTTAGTAAACCCCTATTCATTTTTAAATACCTTTCCAACAATATATCACACGTAAGGGTTGAAATTAAAAAAAAAATCACTTCCCACTTTACATATAGGGGGGCTACCCTAATAAAACATTTTTTTTCCAATTTTTATTTTACCACTTTGTCGGCGTGATTGATACACATATTGGTACCAAATTTCAGCTTTCTAGTGCTAACGGTCACAGAGATTAAGCGAGGACGGACAGACGGACAGACAGACATGGCGAAACTATAAGGGTTCCTAGTTGACTACGGAACCCTAAAAAGCAGTTTCAATAAAATTATGTCTTTAGCCATGGGACTAAAAAGTGTAAATAAAATTAATTTACACTCGTCATTTTACTCAATGTATTAATTATTTAATGTGTTTTTAAAGAAAACATTAATTACTTTTTAAATTTAGTATAGATTGCGCTATATTTCTAGAAATTTTATTGTTATAGCGAAGCAAATTTAAAACCGAAGATACAGCTGGATGTCAGGAGTCGGAGGTGCATATAATGTGAAAGTATATATTGAAATCATACATATTATGTTTATCGCTTTAATCTATTTTCTGTTCAGGATTTAATATATTGTTTCAATATCTGAATAACATTTTAGATTTCTTTTAGCCTGAAATCATTTCAGCTTGATTAAATTTTAATTAGTTGTGAAGTTACGAAGAAACTACATGACTAAAATAGTGATTTTTAAACATTTTTAGGCTTTGTGGAAAGAAGTAGGAAAAAGAAAAAGAAAGAAGAATATATTAGTGTCTTTATACTAAAAAAAAGCCTACCATTTTCTGAATTTGCTAAGTTGTTGTATTTTGAGGTACACTTAACGGTGTTCAAAGGCGTGCTTTATTTTTTTTTTTCAACATGTCACTGTGCTTGGCTGGGAAATTTAAAATTTTGATCTTTATTCATAACTTTAATAGTATGTTGGTTAATTAATTGTATAGTAATAAATGCGCCAAAATTGTTACTATAATATATATAAATATAAGAAGCTTACTGCTGGTGACTAAATTACTTGTTAATATCCCTTCAATTTTAATTTCATAAAAGTATATTTAGAAAAACTACATTTTTTTCATTTATTTTAGCCCTCTTATCTTAGTATCAATAATGATATATGAATATTAATAATTTAATGTCTATGTTTATACGTTGGGTCAACAGTGTATTATTTATATAATATATGTATTTTCGCGTAATTACAACTGATTTTATCTTATTAAGAATGTTTTTTATTCAAATACGAAATTATTATATAGGACCAAGGATGCCAAATTAATGACCACAATCTACCCGATGGTAAAATGGGGTTATACCCACATATACTGACATTTATCCCTGATAAAGAATAAAGTTGCAGCTACGTTGTTACATCTTGAGAGCAAGATGGAATGCCTCATTACTAATATAATGCCAGCAGTAGTCACGCGGCATTTGATTATTATGTTACAATTTCAGATTGGGAAGTATTCCGTGCAAACGTGATATTTCCCTGGTCGAGTTGACCTATTTGCAACAGAATTATGTCAATCAGGCCATAACATGCTGATTTATATATGAGCTTAACTTCTAAGGATTAATGGGAATATGAAAAAAAAAACTCAGTCTTCGTGTAGGATAAATTAAAAAATATAATGTGCATTGAAGGAGTGTTTTGTTTTAGTCATATTTGAATGCTGACTTTAGTTTGGTATTGCTCTTAATTATTGAAAGATGAGGAAAAAGCTTAATGTTAGTACGAAAATACTTATAATGTACAGCCTGCAGGTGGCCAATTATAATATATTTAAATAAAGGAACCTCACATATAGAGATATTTTTGTTAAAAATTCTTCAATATTCTCATTTCTTGACGAGATGAAAATATTGGATTTGCAGGATTCCAGGTGACTCAGGAATGTTACATTTCTTGTGGGAAGCCCATGTTCAGCAGTAGATTTGTGATGGGTTCTAATGTTTATGATGATGATGATGATGTTTCTATTTAACACGTAGGCTCTGCTCTATGTAAATTTTAGTGTATTATTGGCCATGCACCAATTATTTTTACAATTTTTTTTTGCGCCCGAAGCAATTAAAGGGCTACCCTATACGTAGGGAGGCGGAAAATGCATTACGCATACCACGATAGCCGGTCTATCGTGGTTATGAGGGGCTCACTGTCCTACCGGGGACCCTAAGTGATACCCTCTAAAAACCGCCTTTGGGGACAGGCAGCCGGCTGATTAAGCTGTATTGTGCCTTATCATGAGCGACCCTCTTTTGGGAAAAGAGGGCGCAGGCGGCTAAGAGCCGCTGAGGGAGTGCCTATAATTTAATTTAATTAGAGTTGGCCTGAGCCGCCAGGAGACAGTTCAGGTCGTTTGACAGTTTATTAGGCGGGTCCGAGAGAGAGTTTCTCGGCCTGCGGACACGATAGCGAGACTAAGGTGGGGCTAAGACTAAGACGAGGTGGGGCTGCATAAGAAGCTGCCTCACGAATTAATTGGTTTAGGTGCGACTCTGAGGCTTTGAAGAAGTTCTCAGAGAGTTTTTTTAAGAAATTATTGAATTGTTGGGAGCTCTAAGTCCCGATGAAGGTCGGCATTACGGACGTACCAAGGTGCGTTCGCAGCTCGACGACAGAAGAGGTTCTGAACTATTTGGAGTTCATTTATAATATTAGGGTTTGCGTGGGCAAAGACGGGGCCCGCGTAGGACATGACTGGTCGTATGCAGACCTTGTAAAGGGTACGCTTGTTTCGAAGGGACATTTTACTGTGTCGGCCCAACATACTGTTGAGCCTACTCAGATATAACCATGCGTGACGGGTTACTCTTTTGACGTGGGGCCTGAAAGTGAGCCCTGTGTCTAGAGTGACACCTAAATATTTGGCGGACGTATGCCAGGGGACAGGGGTCCCTAGCATACGTATTGGTGGAGTGTTTTTGAGACGGCGTCGTTTATAATCGAAGTGAACGGCGGAGCTGTTCTCCGGGTTCACATCGATGCGCCATTTTTTGAACCAAGCTCCTAGGTCATCAACTGACTTTTGGATCTTGTTCCGTTTGAAGGGTAGTGAGACACCTTTGCAGTAGATGGCAGTGTCGTCTGCGAAGAGGGAGAGTTGATCACCTTTCGACGGGATGGGAATGTCGTTGGTGAACAGGATGTACAGCAGAGGAGCAAGTACTGAGCCCTGAGGGACACCAGTCTTGATAGTTCGCTGTGAAGATAGCTTATTTAGATAGCTTTAGTTAGCTTATTTTTACAAAACGGTGTAATGCTTTTATACTAAAAATCTAAATTAATAAAAATTTGACTTTCACAAATTTAGTTACTTCATTATATTTATGTTATTTAATTATTAAACCTAGTGTTTTAAGGACTTTTTATATGTATAGGCTTTTTATAGGTCTGGGCAGTATATGTCAATAAAAAAAAGGTTCATCCTTTTATTACTTTATTATTTTTAGAACTTAATATAGCGATGAATATTAATACTGAAAAAATCTGATGACCATAAAATCATTTTCAGTTATTATTTTTAAGTGCGTAAATATATATAATTTTTGCACAATTAGATAAAGAAGCATTAATTAGGGTTTACTACATAATCGTACTAATTGAATAAAAACTACTTATTACTACTATTACTATCTATACTAAAGAAGTAAATTGTAACGTATGTAACGGATGTTGGTGTTTATATATTATCTCCACCTTGTTCTCTTCGTGGTGGTGTTTAAAATCTTAGATTATTACTTAGGAATTGAACTTACATTATTTTTATTACCCTTTTAAATGTTTGTCTGTCGCAACATGTTGAAATAAGAATAAGCTGCTGCCATGTTCTGCAAGAAAAAAAACTTTGTATGTGGCTTCCTTCAATATAAATCGCCAACTCAAAAATAAAACTTACGTTAGAAAATGTCTGAACAGATACTTCATCGAAACCAGGGGCACTGAGTTGAAGTGGTCGTAATGATTTTTGCATTATTAAAACCATGTAAGGTCGAATAACTCGGCCAATATTCCAAAAAGGAATATCCAGACAAGCATCGCCAATTGATCTTACCTTAAAAATAAAATTACTCGTTTAATCTCCCGCTAGTTAGTTATTCTTCAGAAATACTTTTAAATAACAAGTGGCAAAATTAAAAAATTTATACAACCGACTTCAATATAAATAAAATGAAAACATCATTAATGTAGTTGAGGTCAATTTAAAAAAAACTATAGTTAAGATCTTGACCAATTTATATGGAATACGAAATTAAAAATTTAAAAAATTTAAAAAATAAAAAAATTTAAAAATTAAAAATTTCCCATATGGTGCAAGAATCAGCTTTCAAAATCAGTACCTAGAAAAAAGTTCTGAATTAACATACAAAAAATTCAGTTGATAATTAAACACAAATTTCAAATAAAGTTATTTTTACCTTCATGCCAAGAACAGTGCACAAGTAACTTGGAATAAATACTTCTACTATGGTTCCACCACAAAGTAGTATTAATATTCCGTTAACTTCTCCTGATTTTAGTTTCTGTTGAAAAAATTTGTTTATTTATTCTTTATAGCAATCCCGATACGAGCTTTCTTCTTTCTAATAGGCCGGCAACGCACCTACTATACTACTGTTCATGTGCGGTGATCTACACTTACCACTAGGTGAGCCGCATGAGCGTTTGCCGCCACATCTATAAAAAGGATGGGGATCTATAAAATGGATAAGCGCTAGTCGCGGAAACCATCGCGGAAAACATCTTATTCTTATGTCTGAGAGCTTTAAAAATGTGTGAAGTCCGTCAGCACGCACTGGGGCAGCGCGGCGGACTTTTCCCTAAAACGCTCTCAGAGATGAGTGGAGGTCTACTACTAATTTATTTATTACCTACTATTACATATTTTACCTTATTGTTTTTCCTATTACACTGGAATGGTATATAAACTAGTAGAAAAATAATCGAACAGGATATTTATTAAAGTAAAACTAATATAACGTTTTCTGTATATATCATACACACGTAAATTAGACCCAGGTGATTCAAGATTCAAGTACACTGTAGTGGCAGCATAAGAGGTCCAGCTCCACCACCTCATATCTTACCGTGGATATTAGAAGATACAATAGTGTGAAATGCAAACAAGAGATAAGGAGCAACATCTTCCTGCAAACAACTCTAAATAATAAAAAACTGCGGCAAAATGTTATATCTCCTATGATGGAATCTATTGAGGATGGTTTTAAATAAGGTTATTGCTAATTTTTTATCATCTGCTACTATGCTATGCCTTTACTTCCTATTGTCACAAAGTACAATCTTGAACCCAATCATTCATTACCGCCTAACACAAAGCCACTGATGACCATAGACATCTACCAAGGAATGTAAGCACTCTCCTGACCAGATCTTCACGCCCATCTGATGGTAAGCTTCCATACACTTCGTGTAAATACGAGGCTGCAGCTCGACAACCTTTCTTTCCCATCGGTTTTTTTCGTTATGTGCGAACAGCTATGCAGGTCTAGAAAGAGAAGCCAGTATCACTGAGACCTAAAGAAGGTTCCCATCGGTTATCGGTTCTTCGAGTATTATATGTATTTAGATAACTTTGTCAAAAATGAGGGTAGGGAATACTTATCATTATTGTGATTGAAAATTCAGATAGTACTCCTAAAGTTGTTTTTTTTTTAAATTCTGTGTCATTCTGCTTGCTGGATGTTAAGTGGTAATTAATTCCAAAATCGGGTCTCTTGTTAAGTAAATGGCTTATTATGAAATAATTTGCGCTGCAAGGAATATAAAAAGTCAAGTTTTACACTGGCCTCCTTTATTTTATTTTATTGAAGTGGCTATAGTTATTACAGAGGCAAAGTAAAAGTAAATTTTAAATTAATAAAGCCACTTAGAACGTTGTCGTCGAGAAATACTTTGAACACGAGTATTCTTGTGGAAAACTTATGCTCACTACGTGCCCTTTTTCTAAACTATATTTTCATGTCCACATGGCCTGATTATGACCGTGGCGATGAGTTAACAAATAATTAAAAATTGTCAACGTCACAGATGATAATTTAATTTTTTGGCACACAACCATAGAAAGACACTCGCTCTTTCTAATCTACTTGTATATACTACAAATTATAAAAATGGCTTGTCTCGTTAGAAATTAAATAAATAAATTAAAACGTCAGGGATAGCGTAAAACACTACTTACTATCTCTTACTTAATTTTGTTTCCATGAAATAAACAATAAAACTCCACAACAAAACAACAATCGTATATATTTCGTAACGGTTAAAGAAAAATCATTACACTATGATATTGCCATTGGTCTATATAATTTATCAAAACTTCGAAAACGGTGGAAGTCTGTTTGTTTAAAAACTGGAAATTATGGTGGACGAAGAAGGATGCCTAGCTTTACGTCTGTTATTTTGTCAACATCTAATTTTGCCACATACCGCATTATGGCCGGGAGTTACGATAAAGAAGCATTGGCGAATAGCATTCCACAAACTTCGGTTGTATGTGAGAGCGTCAACTTCTCCAGCGTCACTTGCAAATGTTGACAATAACGGTCAACAGTAACTGTGCCACCAGATGGCAAGAAGCTATACTGAATAGCATCAAAAGTACATCAACAAACGAATACCATAAACTTTATTTGGCTTAGCTTTAGCACTGCTGTAATGAACGATCGAGATTGCCATAATCACCCTCTTCGTGGGATGGCTACGGAGGTTATTTTGTGAGATCCATAATACTTGTGGTTGTACAATGAACACACATTTCGTTCTTTAGTAGTAACAGGTCCGTTAATGTCATTTTTAATTAGTTTTCAGCTCTCGTTACCACTTCCGTATAGTCGGCCAACTATTAAGCACAAGAAAATACTAAACAGAGACACATTCAGTGACCCAATGCAATTACCAAACCATTCCACCTTAAACAGCTAGTTGCCTCTACACGTATCGTGTAAAGTCTTTTTGGCTATATTAAATAAAAACGCTTTTTCACTCGCGGCTTTTGGTAGAAAACTAAATTAATATATAAAATTTATAATATTTTGTATCGAAATAAATCAGTATATCAAAATGTGTCATACTAATTTTATATTCTTTATTCACAAAAATTGTATTTTAATAAAGAATAATAGTTACCTCAGCGATGCAGTAGGCGGTAAGACATACAACAGGACCGGCAGCTTTTTGTTCAAACATAAGTAATTTTTTGTAAACTGTGGTATAGTTTTTCAGAAGTCTAAAAATAATAAAATAAAACACTGATTGCAAGTATCAATCCAAATATAAAGTAAAACCAAAGTACTACTAAACTAAATACTACCAAATAATATACACAAAAAATAAGTTAATTAAATGGCACTGGTGTACCGTTGCTTTAAAGTGAACTGTAGCGATATATCTAGCTGTGGATACAAAATGAGATCGTATGATAAAGACCATACTGTCGATGATATTGTAAAGAATGATAATCAATAAATCTTTGCCACATTAGATTAAATTATTACGCAAATCTCTCTCTCTCTCTCTATCTATCTATCTCCCTCTCCTTCCCTCCCTCTCTCTCTCTCCCTCTCTCTCACTCTTGTAGCCATCTAAAGTAGAACATTTATTAAGTCATGACTTACTTGTACATCGAATGATGCTCACGTATTATTTCTCTCATCCTAGATTTTATTACTGACATGAACATATCAGCCTCTTCTTGATTATTCGGTAATTGAAGCTCCTCCATCAGATCTTGGATATACCAAATTATTAGATCTGCTTTTGCTGTTATTTCGCCAATCCACAATATTTGCGTTTGAAGCATAACTGAAAATGATATATATATTTTTTATATATATATATATATATATATATATATATATATATATATATATATGTTTTAAAATATTAATTTGATATACTCGTACCAACAAATAAGTTCCGCTATTTTCTCATCTCAATTCACGTTCCTTAATATTACCGTAAATTAAACATAGTAAAAATACTTTAGCTAAGTGACTTACATATATAACTATAGGCATAAGCTAATGCACAAAAGTTGGAAAAAGTAAATGCTATTTCATAGAGTGGTGATGCACTAAAATCCGCTTCAAAGAACCAAAATGGGTATAAAAGCGGTCTTTTTGAACCATCTCCAGCTTCATGAGTTGCAACGTGCCACAATAAGCAAAAACTTGTAAAAACCGCAATACCTCCACCAATGCAACTTGTGAAAATTACGGAAAAAATGCACATTTTCCATGTTTTGAGTTGATTTTCAAAAAACCTGTCCCTGTGAAATCAAAAGAATTGTAAAGTGTATTGAATTGAAGTGTATTGAATATAAACAAAATTAAAATTACGTGAACGAAGTTAAATTAACCTGTATTTTGCCCCTTCTGTGCACACGTATTTAAAATCAGCTCTCAAAGTTCGTAAGAAATCGTGGTATTGCGGTAAGTTTATTACTGTGCATAAAAGTATCAACATTTCATAAAATAGTATAATGAAGTAACAACCTCCTTCAGTTATAGTTTGTAAATCATTTATATCGATGCCATGGTACACAGTTAAGGTAAAAAGGCCTATGTAGATAGAAGCACATATAGCCATAATTGTTAATAAAAAATATCTGAAAATGTTAAAAGTTATAAATAAAAAATATTATTTGAAATTGAATTGTCATTGGCTTACACTTCGCTACTTTTTGCAGAGGTACACAATCGTCGGCTATAATAGTTTTTCACCGACAACCAATCGTACGAGTGACCAAATCATGCAGTGGTAAAATTTAGTAAGCTTTTTAAGAAGTTAGCTGTCTAAGCTTTCAGGTGAAATTTACAACTTATTCAAAAAAAAAAGTCAACGACATTAATAAAGGATCTTACGTCCATTTTGAAATAGGTTCATTATCTAGCACTTGAAAATATTTTAATATATAATAACAAGTAAAGTGATATTTATACGGATCCACAAATCCGTTTGAACTGTCGAAGTTTTCTTTGTTAAGGAAAGCCTTAAACTTTTTGAGCATATTCTTAAAGAAAACCTTACAAATATCAGAAATATTATATGAAGTGTATGTTTCAAGTGCTTACTGGATTTATAATGATTAATTTAAAAAGAATCTCGAGGCATATGTGGCTAATTATACACAATTACGTATGCACTTGGTCTCTATTGCTATGCTAGTTTATATAAAGAGCTGTACACTACATAATCGAAATCTTTAAGGAAATTTTACGAAATTTTTGAGGCATTATTGATTACACATCAATATACATCAAGATTTCTCATATTTCCCCGAACACACAATAAATAAACAAATTTTACGGATTTTATCCCGTAACTTTTTAATTCCCAACGTTTCGGGTGCTTTGCTGCAACCGTGGTCACGGGAGAGACGTCCCAATATCATAACATAGCTATCTTCAGTTTTTAAGTATTAACTTTTGGTCTAATCTATGCATAATGAGCTTACAGTTTAAAGCTATGAGTCTGACGTATTGCAGGGGTATGCTTGGGTTTGGATTTAATTTTATTAATTATAGGATCCTAAGCAGATGATAGCACCAATCCATTTTTTCTATAGAAATTTGGATGTTTTTTTTTAATTTCAATAGCTTCGCGAATCATCTTTGGTAAGAATCGATGTTCTGTTGCCAGTATTTGTGATCTATCCAATCATTAGTTTGGATAGATCATTAGTAATGGTGGGGTCGATCTTGAATATCTTCACAGACTGCACACTTCCCATAAAATCATCATCACACAAATTGTATATATTACAAATCGAATAGTGAAGCAATGTGCTCGTGGATTGCGCCTCTAGTTTCCGATAGGGTAGGCAGAATCCAAACACCAACGAGCTAAAAACGTTTAGCAAAAAAATTGGCTTATAGCAAATTACTTTTGCCGTGTTTGACGTATTAAACTAATCAAAACGTTTTTGCTGTCAGCAAAATTAAAAACCAGAGGTGTTGAAAATGTTGATCAGAATTAAATATGGATTAAACTTCACGTACTTACATACATCAACATAAAAGCTATATATAAATTTATTTCAATATAAAATAAAGCAGTCTTACCATTATAATTAATATAATATTTTAGTGTCCTGCCTTTCATTAAGTTTTATAAAGAATATATGATAACTTTAAGATCTAAATTATATAGTACATGTGAGCTAACGGTTTGCCTCGGGCTATATTGTATTATGTAGCCCAGTTAATTTATGAATATTATATCATATAGAATATTAAATCTTAATAATCCATTAAGCATGGTTAGATTTACTAGCAACCAAAGCTGGTAATTCTTCTGGTATTAATGATGAGATTGAAAGAAAAAAGGCAGAATTTAGACGTCTAATTAAGAGAGCAAAAGAAGTTGTTGAAAGGAAAAAGAAAGAAAGAACGGATAAGAATGATAGAAGGATATCTGATAATTTCCAGGCTAACATAAAAATGTTCTGGAAACTCGTAGGAACTGCCAGGGGAAATACAAAACAGCCTATAATGAATGCTATAAGAGACGAGAATGGATGTATTCTGAATGATGAAGCTTCGAATTTAAACAGATGGAAGGAATACTTTGAAAGCGTGTTTATGTGTGAAGAGTCGTCTGAATTAAATGAACTAGAAATTCTGAAAGAAGTGGAAAGGGGTATTGAGATAAGTGTAGATGAAATAATGAAAGCAATGAAAAGCATGAAAGCAGGTGAGGCAGCTGGATATGATAGAGTATCACTCGAGATGCTAAGGGCTGGAGAGGGAGTGGTGGCAGGCCTGCTGTACACCTTGTTTAATTTATGTTGGGAATTAAAACGGGTACCGGATGACTGGTAGAAAGGTTATAGTACCAATATATAAAGGAAAAGGGTCACAGTAGGACTGCAAAAACTACCGTGGTATCAGCTTGCTTAGTATTGTGGGTAAACTGTATGCTAATGTGTTATTTGAAAGAATTATGAAAGTAACTGATGGAAAAATTTGGGATGTGCAAGCGGGTTTTAGAAAGGGAATGGGGTGTACAGATTAAGTCTTTTCTATGCGCATAATTGCGGAGAAGTTTTTGGCCAAAAACCAGAAAGTTTTTTGTGCGTTCATGGACTTGGAAAAGGCTTATGACAGAGTGGACAGGAATGTGTTATGGCAAACACTGAACTCATATGGGTTGAGCGCTGGTTTGATACAGGCATTAAGGTCTCTTTATAGGGACTCTAGTGCTTGTGTCAGGATCAATGGGGTCTACTCGGACTGGTTTGGCATCCAGAAAGGTGTCAGACAGGGCTGTGTAGCTTGCCCCTTGGCTGTTCAACCTATTTATGGACAGATGTTTGCAAACTTTGAAAAAATGAAGAATGTGGGTTAAGAATGGGCGAGTTAACCGTCAAATGCCTTTTGTATGCCGATGATCAAGTCATATTTGCGTCATCGGCGGCTGAGTTGCAAATGATGGTTACATTACTGAAATGGGAATTAAAAGAAAGGGAAATGAAAGTGAACGTAAGTAAGACGAAAGTGATGGTTTTTGAAAGAGAAGAAAGCAAAACGGTATGTGAAATAAGAATAGGAGAGTTAATTGAGCAAGTGGATGAGTTTGTGTATTTGGGATGTGTATTTAGCAGGGATGGTAGATATGATAGGGATATAGAACGACGAGTAAATGCAGGGGATAGAGTGAATGGGGCACTACACTCTATTATGAAGAACCAGAATGTGTCAAAAAAGGCACGTATGGTAATTCATAATGCTGTGTTAGTCACTTTAATGTATGGTAGTGAAAGCTGGGTGTGGCAGAAGAAGCACGAGAGTAGAATAAATGCTGTAGAAATGCGGTCTTTAAGGAGTATGCTCGGAGTTGAATCTGAATGACAGGGTGAGAAATTGCATGATAAGAGATAAATGTGGTATGCAAGATGATGTTGTGACCAGGATTAAGAAAGGAATGCTTCGGTGGTTTGGTCACGTAGAAAGAATGAATGAGGAAAGAGTGACAAAGCAAATTTATATGGCAGATGTGAACGGCCGAGTCGGGAAGGGACACCCTAGAAAAAAGTTTATCGACCAAATTGGCGATATTTTGAAAAGGGGCCACGTTAGAAGTACCCTTAACCGACGAGCATGTATGTGTAGATATATGGATGTAAAGGAGGCGAAAGAGGTATGTCAGGATCGTGCCAAATGGAAGTCCGTAGTCTCTACCTACCCCTCTGGGTGACAGGTGTGAGTGTTTATGTATGTATGTAATAATCCATTTAGTGAAATGGATTAAGTGACGTTCTTCTTCTAAATTTTTACCGTAGTAGCTAATTGCAATCAGTAAATAGTAATTTTGCTAATTGTAGTACACATTTTTTTTGGTTCATATCATTAAATTATTTTTTATCCAATAATTATTTTTAAGGTAGAAAAGTAATAGAATTCATGCCTAATACGGTGGTATCTTTTTGTGGACAGCCTGCCAGTAGGTGTAGTAATTAAGATCAGAGATAGTTGGTAGAAAATAAAACTAAATAAATGGTAGTGAGTTTTATTCATCATCATTATCATTACAGGCTATGAAAATTCCACATTTGGAAGTGCCTCATAAGAGAAATATTTACCACAGTAGCCACTTATATATAGCAATTATAGTATCAAATATATATATATATATATATATATATATATATATATATAGAGAGAGAGAGAGAGAGAAAGAGAGAATAGAAAGGAAAGCAACATAATGTATGTGCCCCAAAGTTGGCTTCATGCTTCCTCCTATTTTTGGCATGGTTTTAGAGCATGGAATTAAACTTTCGTTTTCTCGCGTATTATCTTG